CCCAGCTCTGCAGCAAAATGTACCAAAATCTGACCAACAATGGATTCCCAGCATGAGTAGAATGTCATCTTCTGTGCTCAGACCCAGAAAGTTGCTGAGGGACATAGGATAAGGCCGCTTACACAGAAACCCTCTATCCCAAAAAAGTGGTTTTGTCCCAGACAGAAGGATATACAACACTAGTGTGCCATTAGAAATCTGGAGAGTTTGGCTGTAACATTACTAATTTTTTTGGTCACTAATACAAGTTTTATGTTCTTATACAATGCCTACAGATGATAGGTGCTTCACTGTCATGCTCAAAAATAACACGGGCTGTTTCAATTATGTAGACAAAGACGAAATAAGTGTATCTCAAAAACAGTTCTATTATAAGTCCATTAAATTTATGTAGCAATTTTTAATGCTTCACAATTAAAAACTGCATAAAGACAAAGCTTCAAGGTTATTTTCCTTAGAAGCTTATAAACAATAAAGATTCAGATAGATAAGATCAACCAGTCCTGCCAAGTAGATTAAAAGTCATGTACTTACAGTCTTTGATTACTATTTAAGAACTCCAGCTAATCTAATTTACCCAAATATATGTAAGAATATATATATATATATATATATATATATATTTTTTTTTTTTTTTTTGGTGGAACCGGGGATTGAACTCAGATCCTTGCGTTTGCCAGTCAAGCGCTTATCCTCCTGAGCCATCTCCCCAGCCCCTATGTAAGAATATTTTAACTTTTTTTTTTTTTTTTTTTGCAGTACTAGGGATTGAACTTGGGACCTTGGGCTTACCACTGTCTATTTTGATATTAGGAGATTGCACACAAATGATAATACTTCTGTTATAGCTTTAAATTCATTTTTTTTTTTTTTTTTTTTTTGAGACAAGGTCTTGCTATGCCCTTTGTTTTGTTTTTTGCGGTACCAGGGATTGAACTCAGGACCCTGCGCTTGCCAGGCAAGCACTTATTCTATTGAGCTATCTCCCTGGGCCCCTCGCTATGCAGTTTGGGCTGGCCTTGTGTTCACTTTTGCGGCCCCCAGGCTAATCTCAAACTCGAAGCTATCCTATCTCAACCTCTGGAGTGCTGGGATTACAGGTGTGTACCACCACGCCCAGGGTTCCCGCTGGCACAGCATGCAGGGCTGGGAATCAAGACCACCAAATCTCCCAGCCCCCTTGTTATACATTTTAAACAAATACCGATTTTACTCTTAAATCCTTCAGAATTTCTCCACAATGAATTTTTACTTGCTCAAAGTAAAATATGGAAATGCTGATTTTCTAATAATCACACACTGACTTTTCCTCAATTAAAACATACTAAATTTTCTAAAATCAGGACACAGAGGTCAGAAGCATGTCTACTTTCCAAATCCAGGCCCTACAGTAGACATATTCTCCCATCTCACTCATCAGGAGACCTAACACCCACTAGCGCTGAAAAGCTGTCATCCCAGCAAGCAAGAGCCATACCTGTGTGCATGCACTCATGTGAAAATATCACACACACTAAATTGCATTGAGGCCGTGACAACATGCAACTTAGTAATGTGCAATATCTCCACCAGAGCAAGCAGAATGGAGCCCCGGGGAGGAAGGGTGTGACGTGCACATTCAGGACACATGCTGCTGAAGGGAGGAAAACGGTCTGGGGATGAAGGGTGCATGCCAGCAACTCAGAGATTCATGAAATGAAACCTAGTCACGAAAGTCTGTAGCTCAGATACTAATTCCAAAATAAAACAAAAGCCAAGGTTCAAAAATTCAGTAACACAGTGACCATGAAAGAAGCCACATGTTTCGTTTCCCGAGGCCCAGCTGTGGGAACAGGCACCTTCCATTTCTGGTCATGCAGTTCTCCCCAACTTCATTCCATTGTTAAGTTATTAATGGAACACAAAATGAGCTTAATGATTTTCAATTAATTGCAACTTTAATGATGACTAATGACTGTCCCTTATAAAATTTGTTATCGCTGATAATTTACATACCAAGCTGTACTTCAAGAACATTACAATACTTTCATAATTGTTTGTACATTATTTTTCCTCTTAAAATCTTTTTCCATGAGAAAAGACTTCTAACACAATCCTTCAGAATGAAAAATCTGACAAGAGCTCTTAGAACAGCTGTATCTCATTATATGAGAAGGCTCTTAAGGAGTCAATATAAAACTTGCACATTTTAGGTCTTAAATGTGATCAAGAAAAAAAAAATCTCCAGCTATGGTGGCACACACCTATAATCCCAGTATGGGAGGCTAAGATAAGAGGATCACTGTGAGTTCAAGGCCAGCCTGAACTACACAGTGAGACCCTGCCTCAAAAAAAACACCCCAAAGGATTTAGACTATAAATATAAAAATCATCTTGAATTACAATCTTTAATTTATAAAACTAGGTACAGCTTTGGTTAGAAAAATGTCTCAAGCCATAAAACATTCTCTAATGTGTTCCATATTTATCAAATTCAGTAAAAATCAATCTATTTGCCATCCAAGAAGACCACAATATATTTCTGATACAGAGGGCAGTTATTCTTTTGGTCATCTTAAAAAACAAGATGTTAATAAAATGAATACATTTGGTCCCTACTTTGGAATCATGACAAGGACTACTGGCATGGTGAACAGTATACATTCTTAAAAACACAGGGCAAATCTAATATGTACAAGAGGTCTCTCCTCATATCTCTGCAATTCACAGCACTCTGTAATCTCAAATTCTCTTCTGAGATGAAGACTAAATGTCTAGCTGCAGGCCTCACTGTATCCACTGAATGGTTTTAACAGTACTGCAAAGTTAACTTTGTCTCCCTCGAACAGCAAATCCTGGAAGGTGTGCTAGAATGGCAGGATTATCATAAACTTTCAGTCAGGTCTAAATGCAAATTATAGCTCTACTTACCACTTAACTAGCAGCCACAACTGAAGAATTAAATTCAAAACAAAAGAGGCAGTGTAATTGGAACAAAAACAAAAAGCAACTCAATGACAAACACTTGAGAGGACAGTCAGCAAAGGCTCATTTGAAAAGAGCAAAATGAGAAAATTCAAGTACTGTGAGCTGAACGCTGGACACAGCAGAAAACACTTGTAATACCAGTGCTCTGGCACTGAGGCAAGAGGAGTATATACAGTACATAAGGGGTGAGGCCAGCCTGGACTACATAGCAAGACCTTGTCTCCAAAATAAATGAAACTTTAAGAATTGTTATTTGAAAATAGAAAAGCTCTTATGAGAAGGTTACTATATGGAAATGAAGCACCATCTTCTCTAGTGACAAGTTGGATATTTTTTTTTCTGTATGGGTTAGAATAAGTCACATCTATGAGCAAAGGACTTTTGTAATGGCTTTATCTGACCAGGAAGACAGAAGGTTACTTTTCCCTTTTTTTTTTTTTTTTTTTTTTTGGTGGAACCAGGGATTGAACTCAGGCCCTTGCACTTGCCAGGGAAGCGCTTATTCCACTGAGCCATCTCCCCAGCCCCTACTTTTCCATTTTCGTACAAATTTGTGTAGGCTTTTTTGAGCCAAAACATTATCACATAGATAAAGGACAACCTATTGCTAGAATTTCCATCATTTCATTTATACAAAAAGGATGATTACCTAGAGTCATAGAGGTGTAAGAGGGGTGTGAAAGCTACACTTTCCTGAAGACAACGTCATTGTGGAAGCTATTACATTAAATCATAAATTCCTACACTTGTATCCTTTACATGAATGGTCCCATGTGGACACCTGACAACACCACACTGGTGCTAAGAGCATTTTTAAAAAACTTACTTGATAGCAAATCAAGGAACAACGTACTGGTAAAATCTTTATTCAAAACTTGCTAGCAGGAAAGAGGAGAAAAACCTAGAGAAGTTTTCAAAGATGATATACCTCAGAAGCATGTGTCTCACTGGAATACATATGAGGGTTTCCAAGATCAAGAGGCATGCTCCCTAGGTGTTACATGACCATAGCGGGAAGAAAAGTAAGCCAAGGTCAGGCAAGCAGGATTAACAGGCCAAAGCAAGATTTATGTGGGTGGCTAGTTCAAACAATGGTATATTTTTAAAGTCTGTTGAAACAGAAATCCCAGGCAAAAATTCACTATTCAACAGAAGCGTAAGACCCTCTAGTTAAGATGTACTAGAAAGAGCAGCACTAACTGATAACACAAGGATCTGAGTAGCTACTCACAAGAAATAGAAATGCTGAGTTATTCTAAGAAGCAATGAGGGATAGGGGTTGAAGGGAAAGCTACAAAAGGCCTGGACTATGAAGCATCTCTTCCTTTGGGACACAAAGAAGAAGAAAAGAAAAGCAGGGTCAGAAGCCAATAACTTGGAAAGAGCTTACAGGCCATGAAAATTGAAGAAGAAACTCGTTCAGAAACCAAGCCTGCAACACAAGGACCCAGACCCAGACACAGGTTGGAAGTCTCTGACCAAAGCCAACTCTACACACGCAGCCTAGGTCTTGGAAACTTGTGCTTCTAGCGTCCAACCTTTTCCTGCCTGAGAGGGCACAGCCTTCCAAACCGAGGGAGAAAGGAAGAAACAGGAAGAACATCTACACCCCTGCAGGATCAAAGCTAGAATTCCTGAGGGGAGGCAGGGTCCAAAGTGGTAGAAGACGGAGGTTTCTTGAGCAAGTGATATGGGGACCGACCTACACTAAGAAGCTGCAGATGGGAAGCTGACAGGCCATTTTGTAAACCATAGACTAGGGAGTGGGCTATCCAAGTCTTTGGGACTTTATTCCCTTACAAATATACGCAGTCATACGATCCTCTCAAAATGAGATGAAAATCTTGAGGATACCAGTCTTTCACTAGTTTAGTGAGGAATATTACTATGACGTGCAAGACAGAAAAGAGGCTTCTCCTGGAAAGCATTTGGTCTTTCTTTTGGTACTGGAAATCAAACTCAGGACTTCGAGCTTGCCAAGCAGGCTCTGAGCACTTGGTAAAGAGAATAACAAGCACAAATCTTATCCCTACCTGATAGCTTCTTCCACAGACTGGCCAATAATATTAGATGATGGACCTGGCTGAGACAGTGGTGTCAGGCTTATCACCCACTTCACTGGCTTGTAGTACTCATCACTGGAACTTAACAGATAAAACAGTGTGGTCAGGAAAATTATCTGCAAAATAAAAGACAGTATCTCCTGAACAATCACACTCTGGAAACTGTACATACCCATAAACGCAAAAAGAATCAATAAAGCGCTTTAACGGAGAAAGAACTGTGATGTACATTTATCTAGCTATACATACCAGAGAGAGTACAAAATTGAGGAGGGCAGTGCCACTGTAGAAAAGGATGGTTAGGAGCGTGGTGACTGTAGTGAACAGCAGGCTTACGTTCCGACTCATCACAATCCACAGCGACTCCAAGATCTGATGAGGAGGAAGAGCTGAAAGTCAGAGCTTACATGGAAGGAGATGCCACAGCCATCTTGTGCTTTTAATACAGTGTCTTACTATCATAAACAAACAAATAAGAACTGAGGACCATTTTAAGTGAAGGGAAAAGTCTATCAAAAACATCTGCATTTTTAATAGTATGGAAAATAGCTAAGTACGATGAATCTACTTCAAATAATATTAAGTAGTTATCAGATCTACTAAAACAGAAAATATGCTATTATAATGCCAAGTTTTAAAAGTAGAATGTAAAAATTTTATATACAGTATACTATGTAAAATTGCAATGGGCATACAAATGCTTATAGGAGAATATGGCACAATATGCCTTGTATATACTTTCCTTGTACAATCTGAAGTTCTGGCTGAGTTTTAGCTGCCTGCCTCCCCTCGCCTTTGCCATTTCCAAGTTAGATTCAACCAAAAATATATAAAATATAACTTCAATGACCATTAAAATCACAATAAAAGTACTAATGGGGTCAAAGGCAGAAGGCTTTCCTCAGACAGACACTGGCCACTCCACTGAAACCTACTGCCTGCAGCTGACCCGCGAGCTCACTAGAGCCAGGTATCAGCATGATGGTTATTCACGCACTAAATATGCCTAGAGGAAGATGTGCAGCATCTACAGTACACTGCATGGTTTCTAATCTATGAACTTAAGTTTCCTCATGACAGTGTCTGTTCTGTCCTCTCCAAGTGGACTATCCTTCTTCTCAGCAAAAAACATGGAAGCAAAATGATCAAGAAAACACTATTAATTATAGTTTCAAAATGTGGTCCAAAACCTCAGTGTTGCGAAGGAAGCAAGGCAGAGGACAGTATCTTTACTTTACAGATATATATAAAGTGAAGCTCAGAGACTTTTTAAAAAACTTATCTGAGGCCACAGAGCTAAGAAGTAGCATCAGAACTGCTAATGTCTGATTTTTATTTTAGTGTCTTTCTGAAAGAGCAGCTCTGTTTTTGTCATATGTTCAAGTTATACCATCTGCTCTATGAAAGGACTGTCTATTCCTTTCCTACCTCAAATGTATCATTTATAAAAGGCACATTTTGTTGCCCTCCTCATTGTTGCAAACCTCAGCTCCATCTTCCTAAGAGATTTTCAGCAGTCTGGTTTCATTTACAAAAACTCCTTACATAGAATCTTGAAAATGTTTCATGACGCCTACCAAAAAATGCAAGACTGACTGTTTGACCCTGTTGAATAAAGGATAAATGAACAATGCCACCGATTCCAAGACATGAACCAACAATGCCTTTATTTTTTATTTTGAAAAGCATTCTTTCTGAGGCTCAATCAGTCTGGAATTTTTATCAAAAAAAATTTTAAATAGTTTCTGAGTCACCCTGACAGAAAATACCCTGTGGTCATTGGCCAGTCTTTAGACATCAGCTGAATGTATTAATTGCGTAACGGTAGTTTCTAACAATAATCAAGCAACCTTTTTACTTGAAAGAAAGGGAATAGAAAAAGGGCATTTCTAGACTTATTAATTAAATCTTTATGGCAAAGTAGATTCTAATGTATGTCAGGCTAAGAAATGAAGAAATAAAGGCAGTAACAACAGCAAGGTCCCTGAAACTCTAAATATGAAACAGATGAGATGTACTACAAATAAAAAGTAGAAAACACGAGTCAGGTCTAGTGTTACCTTAATGAGTGGTAGCAACATAAATGACAGAATGTCAAGCATGAATTAGTTGTATAAAACATATACAAAAAGCCCTGGAATTATGTCCACTGCTCACTCACAGGTGGTTTCTGCTGCAGATAAGTGACCGAGGCCGCCTCCCTGGCCCCCAGCTGACATGCATCCTGTCCTCTTGAGTTTACTGTCCACAAATAACCTTTCCATTATTAATTTGGTTTCCTAGGTACTTACTGAGAGCCATTAGCCTAGCTTCTGTGAAACCAGTGAAGAATGAAAAATAGCAGCTTGGGAAAAAAAAAAAAAAAAAAAAAGAAGAAGAAGAACAGAATATTACAGGGATGCAATGAAGAGAAAATGTTTCTCTGAGCAGGACCAAGCTGTGTGTCTGTCTGCCTCAAAGTCTGCACAGAGTCGAGAGACACAGACTACAAGAACCCCATGGTCCTGCTCTGGTTTGTCTCTTCCTAACTTAGCTACAGACTAAGGGAGTTGAACTGGGTGATCTCAAACACCATTTCAACTCTGCCACTCTATTTCTAAATACAAAATTGATTATTAATGTTACAATAGCTTTCTGTTCAATACACTGACAACCTAACACCATGCTAAATTCGAAGGCACCTATAATTGAGTCTTTCTGCTCCCAAGAACTTAACATCTAGTCACATAAACTGGGCATAAATATCAGAGTCAAAAATGGAAGAAGAAAGTAGAACTTCCAGTAACAAAAGAATGGTTAAAATGCTAACTACAAGAGGAAGAAGAAAGTAGGGGATGCCAATTTGGTGTAAGGTGCACTGGGAAGGGGTCTTACAACACAGTTCTAACCAATATACTTACTGCAAAATCAGAAAAAAGCAGACAAAGCAAAGCGAAGCAAATAAAAACAAAGGTATGGGGCTGGAGAGATAGCACGGGAGATTGTACTGCCTGGCAAGCGCAAGGTTCTGAGTTCAATCCCCAGTACGGCAAGCCGAGCCACCCCAGAACCCTGGGTGGTCTCTACCAGCCACCAAAACCAGTGCATGTCTATAATCCCAACACTGGGGAGCTGAGACAGGAGGATCGCTGAGTCGGAGCTGCTGCATAGCAAGATCCTGCATCAAAAAAGAAAAGAAAAATAAAAAATAAAAGAAACAAAATAAAAACAAAGATATGAAACAAAAAGGATGAGACATAGTAGGGAAGATAATGTAGTTTATTACAGCAATGGCCTGGACTCTGGAGCCCAGGAAGAAAAACTGATTTTGAACACTTTAATTCTTACTAGGGTATTTAACACCAGTAAACATGTTTGATATTACGATGAAGGCAATTATATTGGCTTTGGAGACTGTTTATGAGAATTCAATTAGAAAATATTTATAAAGCATCAAGCTTCATTAATTTTGTATATCTGTCAGGAAATATTTAATATAAAAATCACTAAAGAATCACTCCCTTGCTGCCCAATATGTGTTTGGGCATATAAGAATTGCACCTATTTAATTTTTTTGGACTATATGGCTAAATCATTTATTTTTAAAACTGCCTACTGTCTTTCCATAAAAATTCATAAAATTTAAAGATTTTCTGTATCATCTATCTTAATTTGATTCAATGTCACTTCAACAGTCAGCAGCAAATCCTTTAAAATTCAGCTATTAAGGCAGAAAAGGAAAATGAGGCTCAAAACAAACCACAAAAAAGATGAAATTTCAGTGAACACATCTGAATGTTCTAATGTCTTGTGAGAGGATAAGCTGACTTCTGAAAGCACTTAGCACTAGAAAGGCGCCAGGCGCAAGGGCGTACGCGGGGAGGCCTGGCTACTCCGGAGGCTCAGGCAGGAGCACTGTGTGTCTAAGATCAGTCAGCATGCCAGGACCCTGTTTCCAACAAAACATAACACTGCCGGGAGAGTTCATAAAACTAAGTGGAACCTGTTGCGCACTTTGTCTACAGTCTGACTGGCTAGACCCTTCCAACTGGCTGTTTAGTGTTTTACTCTCTAAAATAACATTGCCAGAGGTCAGCACACGTTTGAAGACAGCCACAAAGGTAAAGAGGGCAAAACAAACTTTAAACAAACTCAGAGCAAACAGAGGGCAGTAGACATTTTAAAAATTTATGTAAGGGGGATGACATGATGAAAATATGTTAGATACTTGTATAAAAATACTTCACTGAGACCCAGTATTTTATAAAATTACATACAGTACTAGAAAACACATTTAAGTATCTCAGTAATATCCTCAAAGAAATGTTTTTAAAGGGTTCACAATGTAAGAGGTGGTAGATGTTATACAAGCAGAAATAAAAATTCAGTGAAGGGTTCTAAAGTAAAGTTGAAGGCTTGCAGGGGGCATTCAAAGAGGAGGAAAAAGTGTTTTTAAGAGTTAAGGACTCTTTGTGGAGGCCCACAGTCTGGCTGAAAGGCAGTTCAAAAAGTCAGATAGTGATTCTCAAAGCAGACCTCCTGGACAAGTGGCATGTCTGAGACCTTTTCTGAGGTTTTGTAAGGTCAAAACAACTCCCTCACCAGGTGTGGTGGAACATACCTGTACCATAATCCCAGCCTTAGGAGTCTGAGGCAGGCTTGCTGAGGTCAACCTGGGCTACATAATGAGTTCCAGGCCAGCCCGAAATACACAGCAAGAACTTTGTCTCAAAAGACAGAACAGAAGCAAAATTTCTTCTTGAAGGCATCTACATGGTAAGCACAGCAACAAGGGACAGCAGGTAGGACTGCTGGGCCATGGTGGGAATGGAGGTGACGCCTAACTGCCCTCCTGTTCTCTGTCCTCTTCACTACTGCAGGCTCATCAGCAGCTCTCCTTAAGAACTGCTGTACTTGGCAGCAAAAAGTATGTTTGCTTGAATCCACCTGTGAGTAGCTTCTTAGTATTCTGCACGTGGAAACAGAAGTTAGCCCACAGCACTTGCGCTGCTCACAGAAGTGAGAGAGCCCTGGCAGGAGGCACGGTGTGAGCGAGCGGGGAGCTGAGCCCAACCACTGTACAGAACACCATGTCTGTGGGAAAGACCTGCCTGCCTCAGCAGCTGCGGAAAGTCCCTCCAAGGACGACCAAAGTGCCCTCAGGAAATCCACTGATAGCATGTGCTGGCAATGAAATTTAAGTCTTTAAGGTAAAAAACCCATAATTTTAATGATTTATCAGCCATTTGTGACCTTGACAGCATCTTAAATTTTATTCTAATGAGTTAGATGATTGTAAAAAAAAATGACTTTTTAATGCTGTATTTTTTTTTAATCTACATTCTGAAGTCAGTGAACCAATATTCCAAACGACTAGTGTATCTTATAAAAAGTCACACAAACACAGGCTCCTAGCTAAGATGGATCAGTGGGCTTTACTACACCACTGCAAAACAGTTCAATGGTATGGCTACAGACTCCACGTTACAACTATACTTTTTAAAATATCATGTGCTCAGGTTTGGTGTAGTATCAAAGAACAGTCACAAAGGGCCAGGGAGATAGCTCAGTAGAATAAGCACTTGCCTGGCAAGTGCAAGGCCCTGAGTTCAATCCCCAGTACAGCAAAAAAAAAAAAAAGAAAAGAAAGAAAGGATAGCCACAAGAAAATCTGCTGAAAGTTCCCTCTCTTAGCTATATATTGTGGCACACACCAGTAATCCCAACAATCTAGGGGGACTGATGCAGGATGATCCCAAATTTGAGCCCAACTAGAAAAAATTAGTGACTTAGCAAGATGCTCAAAATAAAAGAACAGAGGAAGCACCCTGTGCAAAGACCCTTGGTTCAAACCCCAGTACCACCAAAACAGGTAAAGTCTTTTTCTCAAATAGATATCTGTGTACCATATGCCACATCAGCCCTGCCCCTAGGCAGGTTGAGCCAGCCACTGGGAATGGGCGTGATGGTGCACGCCTGTAATCCCAGCACTGGGGAGGATCACTGAGTCTGAACTGTATAGTGAGACCCTGTACCAAATAAACAAATAAATGAATAAACAAATGTGTGAGGCTGGGATGTTCCTTTCAACCAAAACAAACTTAACTCCACAGACAGTAGGCAGAGCAGATAGGAGAATCCAGACACTAAACAGATTTGCAACAATTAGAAGAATTACTCTTCTTGGTAAATCGTTTCTTTCATCTTAGACCCTAAATGTTTATGTTAACATGTAAAGCTGTAATCCCCAGACAAAGACACTTGAGAAAACAGAGAAGGGATTATCAAAAATGTAAAACAGCTGGGTGCAGTGCTGCACATGAAGAGGCCCAGCTAATCAGGGGGCTGCAGCAGGAGGGTCACTTGAGGCCAGGAACTTATTGCAAGGAAATGAGGGAGGGAGAAAGGGAGGAAAGAAAACATGAAATAAAAACTGAAGGATATGAATTTCTAGAATTGATTCCAAACTATTACAACTACACAGGTGAGTGGGAGGAAGGGCAGAGTGTGCATGCAAGAACTTGTTAAGAACTGAAGGAGCTGTGAAGATGGACTTGCAAGAAAGTCACATCTTTACCTTCATCTTCCTTATTTGGAAGCCAAAAGATAGAATCTAAAATGGCAAAACAAAAAGTGCAGTGTAAACATTATTTTAAAAATTTCTGGGGGGACCAGGGCGATAGCTCAGCTGCCTAAGCGCCTGCCTGGCAAGCCCAAGGTCATGAGTTTGACCCGCAGTACAAAAAAAAATAATAATAATAATGATAAAAAATTTCAGAAGTGAAGCCCGAGTGAAAGCTGTTTAGAGAACAGCTATCCCTAGAGATTGACACTGAGGCTCACAGCGGGGCAACTTCCTTTTTTTTAAAATTAAAATTATACAGCATGGCTTTTCATTTATAGTCACATATTACTTGGACAAAACTTCACTTAAAAATTCTTGTGACTGTGACTGTGAAAAGACCTCCCGACACGTGCCCCTGAATCCACAGAGCACCCCGCAATGCTGCAAGACTGCAGAAATGGAGGCGCGCAGCGGGACAGCACGGTATGCTAACAAGCTGAGCCTAGTCTTTCTCACGTAACAACTGCACTTCCACACCCAGGGCTGCACCCAGGACCCTCTGTAGTGGTCCACCTGGGAACACGCTGCTCAGCGAGGGGGATGAGGAATCCACCTGAGAATCTAAGAGCACACAGCACTGCTCATGCCTTCTGGGGGCGGCATCAGCCAGCCAAGTACTAGGGAGCCACATCTGAGGACTACAAGGTTTGGTTAACTTTCTTGTTCATTTAGAATTCTCAAATTCAGGGCTAGTGGCCAAATAGCTCAGTGGATTAAAGCACCTACAAGTAGGCACAGGGGCCTGGGGTTCGATCCCTCAGCATGCTGAGACAGCAACTGAGACTGGGTGTGGTGGCATAGACCTGTAATCCCAGCTCTTGGGAGGCTGTAAACAGGCAGATCACTATGAGTCCAATCTAGCAGTGAGACCCTGAACACCTTGTAGACCCTTCCCTAAAATACATACATACATACATACGTACATAGAATTCTCAAATTCACAAATGTCATGGTGTTAAAAATAGGGTAACTAAAGGTCTCAACGTGTGTAGAGAAAACCTGGAATTAGTTTCTACTTTTATCTCTAAATCCAATTTAACAATAAAGACTATGCCTTACCGACAGAAATGTCTCAATGTTCTCGTGAACAAAGGAGGCAAGGTCTTGCCAGTCCAGAATGTCTCCAAGCCAGCTGTTCTGACGACTTACATGCATCTTGTGCCCTTTGTGTCTTCCAGAATGCGTTACATTCTATGGAATAAAACAGTTCAGATGCACAATTTCCATCTTAAAGAGTAAAAATTACAAACATTTCAATTTGCTTTAGCTCCATTTACACACTTCAGTACATTATTTAAGAAATCGACTAAGGACTCCACCTAAAACAGTACTTTTCCATTTACATCCTAGACATTATACCTAAGTCTGGTTCAAGTGCTTCCCTCCTAAATACATGTTATTCCTCACCATCCGTAACAGTGTACTAATACAGCACTCCATCTTTTTCTTTTTAGTCTTTATGCCCCTTTCCTGGTTTCCGTATCTTGGCTCCCCCCAGCTTCTATTTCCCTTATTCATGATCTTTCTTTGCTTTTTGAGATGGGGGTCTTACTAGTAGTTTAGACTGACCTTGAGCTCACTAAGTAGCCCAGGCTGGCCTTGAACTCACAGCAATCCTCTTGCCTCAGCCTGAGTGTTGTGATTACAGGCATGGCCTTTATTCATCTTTTGTACAAGATAAAGGAGGGAGGGAGGAGACTATGATAAGCATGAATGAGGAGCAAAATCTAGTTCATCTATCTGTAAGAGAATCACATTGGCAGGAATAACTACATTTCAAAAAGAGATTTGAATAAACACAGTGACCAGGGAGGTTAGAATTCAGTGGTACACTGTTAATATTCTGTATGCACCCTCTTACTTTCTGAATCTTGCTTCCATTCTCTCACTTTTACAGGTGAAACAGTGATATGCGTCTCCACTACACAATGCACAAAGACTAGCTCACAGTGAAAGAAGTAAAGAAAATGATATACTTGTCCACTTACATCTATGCCTTTTAAGACTGATACTCTCCCACTGTAAAAGGAGATTCAAAATGGGTGAGGGACAGGCAAAGCTGATTGATAAGAAGCCCTAGAGTTGGCACAAAAAGGACATATGACCTTCCTAACCTAGTTCTGCAGCAGACAGTCAAGCACAGGACACTCACGCTATCTAATGGTCCCCTATTCGTTTTGGCTCTGTCTTTGAAACCCACAAGAGCCAAGCCTTTTTCCCCAACCTCCCCCATGAACAATAGCACCTAATCAAACATGCATCACTAAGCAACAAATTCAAATTAAAGTCAGCCCTCATCCTCTGCAATCCCAAGTTAAGAGGTTATACCTGCTTCTCCTCTCCATACACCAACCCTAGGGGAAAATCATCAGCTCTCGCCCATAATACATACAATATGCTCTCTGAGAACCCATCCGACCCAGGAGACCACATCTCAACAGAACCAACTGCTTTCAAATCATTTTTGTGCTTGGGGACAGACAGTATTACTCTTCATGATAAACCTCAAAGTAAGAAGATATATGCATACATATCAATGTTGCTCTAAAACAAAGATTTCTAGCAACTTTTAGATCTATTTCTTCCTCAAAGAAAAAAGTTCTTAATGTCTAGCAGTGAAATATAAAAAAAAGAAACTAGCCACATGTGGATACCGAGACCTAAAATTTGACTACCCCCAAATCTGAAATAATTGGTGTAAAATGTACACTAGATTTTAAAGACTATTTTAAAAAGAGAGTAAAATTATTTACAAACATATAAAATTAAGATTTATATATATATATATTATATATATTGAAATGAAAGCAGCTGAGGTATACAAAGGTAAGCAAAACATTACAATCGTATCATCGGTTTTAATTATTTTATACAGTTATGGTCACATGTGTCACTACAGGGACTGGAAGAACAACGGTGGTACAGTGCAGGCACAGCAGGTGAGAGGCTCTGGGTTCAATCCCTAGCACTACAAAAAACATGTACATAGCCATTTCTACCACACAAAACAAATCTAAAAGACAAGATGTTGTCTACAGAAGTGAGCAGAGGATGGAACACTGATACACCAGAGGGAGTAACAAGTTTTGCCCGGAGACTAACGACCAATGAATGCTTTTACTGACCTAAGCCTTAAAAATCTTGCTGCTTAAAAATCTCCGTAACTCAAATTCCAATGTTAATACAATTCTATCACATCAGTGAACCCATACAGCAAAAGGACTTTGCTTCCTATGGAAAATGTTAAAATGACTTACCTTTACAAACCAAGAATGATAGAGTCTGTCCCAGAGTTCTAGTACTTGCTTTTCAATTACAGCAGTATTGTTCACCTTGTCTCCTAGAATTTTATGAAGCTAGAAAAAAATGAAGATTTAACATTTCAGGCAACATTCCAATAAAACTAATAAATACTGGGTCTTCATTTGTTCCAAACCAAATTAAAATGTTCCAGACTTTCAATCATCACTAACCACAACGTTATTCTCTTAAATTCTGTATTCCTCAGTGTTCCCATAACATTCCTTTCCTTTGCTTCTCACATCTTTTTGCTTTTTGTCCTTCCTCTATTCTTGGTCTCTGAGAGCTACTTTGAATAACAAGAGAATGGAGCAAATGAAGTTGTTTGTTGACCTATCTCATCTCATCTACCTAGAGAAAAATCTCTTCCTTGTGGCCCATTACCCACCATTATTGATGACTCATGTTACGTGTAACTTAATATTAAGAATTGCCATAAAATTTTAAGACTTTCACTGTAAATACTAATGAAATCCTTCCATTAGTCTGCTTATTGAGAGACTCCAGGCCTCATATAACTATGACTGGGTGGAATGGCTTTCAGGTTTGTGAGAATCAAATACATTGAAACAAGATAATTTGCATTCATTATAAACTTGTTTTTTATTATTAAAACCATATGCAACATTAAAGATAAATCCAAAAGACAAATACTGAACTGTAGATCCATTTGTTTAATAAAAAGTGTGTCCATTTCTCCATGTCTCTGCAATTTTTATAACTATCTTCTTTGTTTTTACTGGTTTCATATTACTTCATTAAGTTATAATACTACTTAGTACCCACTGATAGGACATATAGTTAGTTCTCTGCAGTGAGCATTTTTATACATATGTATTATTTTGTAACCACTAATAGTAAGATAATAAATAACCAAAGAAAATGAAGGCTCTGACTATGACTGAATAGTCTTCTATAAAGATTATACCAATTACTACTTTCTAACATTGCATGGGCAAACCAATTTTCCCAAAGCTTTATGGACTAAGTGAAAATATTTTACATAATTTAGTGAATGTAAAATAGCAATCCATTATTTATCTTTTTTTCTCAAACTTTTTTTTTTTTTTCCATATTGGTTTACAATGTGTATTTACTGAACTTCTGTCTCCTGGATGTTGGCCTTATATTTGTTTGAGCCAGTCATTAGACACATTTGATGTACATGCATATTAATTTATTCATAAACTAGACACAAATTAATAAATGTAATAGCCACCTATTTCAGGAAAGCATTTTACAATTTAAATAACTTTTACCTATATTATACAGTCATTACAAAAAAACAAGAATTAGACAGAAAATGCTTTGGTTGGGCTGAGGATACACATCTCAGTGCTAAAGAGCCTGACTGGCAGGCACTACTCTGAATTTGATCCCCAAAGCCCCAGAAAAGGCGCGCGGAGGGTGAGGGGGAGCTGATAAAAGAAAAAAAAAAAACAGTTTTGTAATTATCTTTGTTCTTTTTAGAAAACAGATTTTGAGAGTCTATAAGGTCGTGCAATTAATTGGCAGTAAAGATAAAATATTCTCTAATGTTCTTTCAACTACAGCATATATAACCTGTGGGGGAAAAAACTACCTCACAGAGCAAATTACTCAAAATGATTAAAAATCATAATACAGTCTAATTTCATTTACTTACTTTGAATTATTAGTCTTTCATATCTATTATCTATCTATCTACCTACCTACCTATCTATCTATCTATACATCTCATGGTGTTCAGATACTCACTGACTTCTGCTACCAATATTCCCCATGAGCCTCTGAGATCTCCCTAACCAAGAGACCTAAAACTGTTAAGTCCGTACACAGCGGCCTTAGTGCAATAAAACACTATTTTAAACTGGCATTTCCTCTAGCTACCTTACTCCCAATACAACAGTGAATGATTCTAAACTACCACAACTATGGAAGTGAAGGACACTATCACAAAATTTCAAGTTACAAAATACTAATTTCCAAATTACCAACCATAGCGTAACAACACAGACTCAGAATGTGCCGCAACATTACAACACACGCTACCAGTCACAGGGAAGACTGAGCCAGGGTGCACAGGGTCCAGTGGACTCCACACTGCTTTCAGGAGAATGGCGGAAGCACATGTGCTGCTGATGGTATACGACCTGCTCTCTGCACACGAAAGGCAGGAAAGCAACAGGAGCAGTCACAGCGCCACTTGAGAGCCATCTTTAGGAAGGCACCTAATCGGGGTAACCAGAGAGGGGGTAAAGGTCAGGGAGCAACCGTCTACTCAGCCTGCTTGAATTCCCAGCAACACTGCTGCAGCTACCCAAGTCTTTCTTGATATATTTTCTTCTCTAAACTTCTATGTCACACACAGGTTGGTTTTTCTTCTACCTCAAATACCACTCAGTTGGCCGGCTTTAGACCTCCAAAAAAAGCTAACGCCCTCCAAGTCTATCTTTGGCTCTCTCCGTCTCTGTCTCTCTTTGGAAGGAGAAAGTTACAGGGACTCGGCATATTAAGCAAGTGCTCTGCCAGTGAAACATACTCCCCTCTTTGGTTCTCTTCTAGCTGTACTTTCTCCTTAAGCCATTTTTTGGCCTGATACCCACCCCGTTCACACACTATCGTCCTAATCACCAATACCTCAGTAGGGTCTGTGTTTTAAAAGTTCGTTAACATGAATCCTCATTAACGTAACTGGTGTCTTTATCTGAGAAGATCAGGGGACACAAGGAAGACCATGTGAGACAGCAACCATCTAGAAGCCAGGAAGAGAAGTCTCAGTAAAACCCAATCCTGCCAACAATTTGATCTCAGACATCTAAACCTCTAGAATTGTGGGAAGATAAGCTTCTGTTGTTCGAGCCACCCATCCTGTGGTACTTTGTTATATCAGCTGTAGATAACTAGCAGGCACCATGTCACTCAATCCCATAATACCATGTGATAAATCTCAAGCCACCACCTATTCCCCTAAAGCTCCAGCTGGGCATGTACAGTTGCTTTCATAGCAGCTCTATCTATTTAACAGGCATCTCAAACTGAGTATGCCTCAAATAGAACTACTGACTCAGCTATGATACCTACGCCACCGTTCACTTCCATGTCTTTTTCATCACAGCTACCATTCTAGTTGAGCAAGCCGAAATTTCCCTCCCACATACTTTATATCTCATCCGTAAGTAAATTGTTAGCACATCAAAAATACATCCCAAATCTGACCATTTTTCTCAATATGAATGTCCACAATCTGGTCCCAGGCACCAGTATTTCTCACATGGGCCATCTGAATAACCTAGCTGGCCTCCTGCATTCTGCTTTCTTGATTCTTTCCCCTCAAAGCAACCAAAACTCAGGACATATCCCTGCTATGTCTGTGTAACGAATCCCAACTTCTTGTCATGGCCTTATTCCAGCCACACAGGCCTCCACGCTGGCCTTCTGTCCTTCAACCACGCTTCTTACTACCTCAGAATCTTTGATTTCTCTCTGCTCTCAGCTTGACACATTCTTTCCCCAGACTGTCACCAACTGGACCTTCTTATCATTCAAGTCCTGTGGAAAAGTCTCCTCAGAATTCTTCTCTGGACTTTTTAGCCATTCTACACACCATTCTGAATCCCTCTGTACCACATTACTCTGTACACAGCACTTGTTAGCGCCTGAAATTATCTAGCATGGTTACAGACTGGCATGTTCTCCATCAGGTCATGGCAGAAAGGACAGAGAAGGCACATTATCTACTTTCTTGTTATTCTAGGGCAGCATGTCCAGATACAAATTTCAGAGATTCGTATCAAAGAAACAAAAGGGCGTCAAACAAAAGGAGAGCTTGAGCAAGGACACTGAATGAGGAAAGCTAACTGGAAGGAATACACAGAACCCAAAAGGATTTTTTTTTTTTTTTGGCTGGCTCAGGATGCCTTAAGGGCAGGTCTGGTAAAGCATGAGGATCTGGGGATTGAACCACAGTATCCTGAGGCTGACTCCCTTCACTTAAGCAGGCAATTAAACAAATGAGCTAATGGGCAGGCCCCCTAAAAAGGCCCTTTCTTTTTGTTCTTTTTTTTGCAGTACTGAGGATTGAACTCAGGACCTTGTACTTGCTAGGCAAACGCTTATATTCTACTGAGCTATCTCCCTGGCCCACAGAAGGGACACAGGAGACAAGGATGACCAAATAGGCTGGATGGGGCAGCCAACAACAGTTCATCCTCACCTGACATTCCAGAACACTCTTAAAAAAAAAAAAAAAAAAAAAAAAATCATTTATTTATTTGGTACAGGGTCTTGCTACACAGTTCGGACTCTAAATGATCCTCCTGTCTCAGCCTCCCCAGAGCTGGGATTACAGGACTGTACCACCACACCCAGTTTCAGACATGCAGTACCAGGGATTTTTTTTATTTTTTGGTGGTACCAGGGTTTGAACTCAGGACCTTGTGCTTCCAGACAAGTGCTTATTCTACTGAGCTATCTCCCTGGCCCCAAGAATTCTGTCTTTTTTTTTTTTTTTTTTTTTTTTTCAGAACCAGGGATTGAGCTCAGGCCCTTGTACTTACCAGGCAGGTGCTTAGACCACCAAGCTATCATTTTTGGGCATGACATTCTTTCCTAATTGCAGCCCTCTCTAGACATTAACTTTTACATTCCAATTCTTACATGATACTTAGCTAGATAAGATCTGAGGTTCCTAAGAAAGTTATAACTCTGGTTCCTTTTTTTTTAAAATTAATTTTATTGAGAAACAAATAGCAATGAGATAGTTTCAAAACCCATTAATATGGCAGTTCCAATAATTAATTGGGGCCGGGGAGATGGCTCAGTATAATAAGTACTTCCCTGGCAAGCACAAGGGCCTGTGTTCAATCCCCAGTTCCACAAAATAATAATAATAATAATAATAATAATAATAAATACATTGCATGTTGTTGTCTTTGTAGTAGTTATTCATTGTAAAAGATGTAGACATGATATCCTGTCCAAATACTATTAGTACAAATCTTTCTTCTCATTGAATTAAGAGAAAGTAGCTGTATATCTATCCTATTTTCTATATACAGATACAAAGTGGTTGTTTATTTCTATCCCCTTTTTTGTTTAGTTTTGTCAGAGATGGGTATTCCATTGCCATTTAAATATTGTAAGTGCGTGAATTTAGCAAGATAACCCAATATAGTCCACTAGTCCGTAATAGTGATGAGTTATATGTAGGACTGGTGATGTCAGAAGTTATTGACTTGAGTCTTTCACAGCTCAGCATATTAATATGGCTTTACTTTTTATACCTTGTTTTTATACTTTTCTGCTGGATGGTTAAGACCAAGATAAAGCAAGACCTATATAACAAAAAATATAACTTTTGTATCTCACAAGGTCAGTCAAATGCCCTCAGGATTTACCCTGAAACCCTGTACTGCAGTTTGTAGATCCTTTATCAGTGTCAGCCATGTGGATGAGTCACGGCCATTGCTTGACCAATGTACTCTCTGTGGAAGCCTGAGAGAATGTTTTCTCTCCATATGACTCTCCTTAGGCACACTCTACATCATCGATCACCTTCCTCTGTAACCCCATAATCACAACTCCAGCTTCAATTGGCTCTTTTAAAAAACAATTTCACTGAGATGTAACTCACATTCCTTACAATTCACCCAGATAAGTTTACAATTCAATGGTTTTTAATATCTTCACAGTATGCAACCATTATTACAATTAATTTTAAAACAGTTTTATTAGCCAGAAAGGAAGTCCCATGCCCATTAGCAATCAGCTCCTTCCCCTCCAGAATCCCTTATGCCCATAATCCACTCGGTTCTGACTCTGGATTTGTCTCTTCTGGATCTTTTATGTAAGCAGAATCATGCACATGCAGCCTTTTGTGACTTTCTTTCACTCAGTATGGCGTTTTCAAGATCAATCTACATTGTAACATTTGTCGATATTCCATTCCTTTATGTGGTTAAAATTGTCCACTTTACATATTTACCACCTTTGATTGATCCACTATCAGCTGATAAACATTTAATCATTATTTTTTAGATATTATCTTTGTCTATTAAATCAGGATCATACATATTTAATAATTTTGGTATCAGTGCCCACCTCTTTTTGGCTCTCTTTGATTCTACAATCTTTTCTATTTGTTCTTGGGGGGGGAGTTTCACTATGCAGTTTAAGTTGGCAGTGACCTTGCAACGATCCTCCTGCCTCAGCCACCTGAGTGCTGGAAGGACAGGCACATGCCACTCAGCCGGGTTGTTTCTACAGTCTTGAACAAAAAATTTCTCTATGTAATTAAAGATCTACATTTTAAAATCTAAGGTAGATTTCTCTAGCCATCCAAAATTCACTTTCTATTCTTGTTTCTCTGAAGAATTCTATAATATAAAACTCTTCCTCAAATATAAATCAAGAATAAAATGCTATGCTTTCAGCAAGTTTATAGAAGCCTTCTACAATGACTAAATCTTCCTTCTATGAACACCTGGGAGCTGTATCCACATATTTATTTTTCACTTACTCAATAAATAGATTTTCTAAAACCCTGATATGTGAGAATTGATTACGTTACTTGGAACAGACCCAAGAGAATCTGTAACACACCTTTCTCTCAACTTTTGACTGTGATTCTATCCTTAGATTAGCAGACCACCTTTTGTGCATATATCCAGTATAACTTCCATCATTTTGGGGTGGGTAGGGTCTTTTTTCGTTTTTGTTTTGTTTTTTTTGAACAAGTAATCCCATACTGAAAACTTTCTGGGCACAAGTCTCATTTCAAAAAATCTTGTGAATACACATAATCATAATTACTTCAGCATATTAAAACTGCAATTCATCTTTATTCTTATAGGCAAGACTGGGGCTTTTAAAAAGGATATCCCACATCCATAGACTGTAGGTTAATCTTTCAGCTGTGTTGACTGTCTTTTCCCCTCCACTCACTTCCCCTTCCCAAAGCTCCCTCCCCTGCAGTCAAGACACATTCCCCTCCCTTCATCTTCACTCATTAAACACCTTCCTTGAAATAGCTCTTGCTGACCTACGCTCCTTCAGGTTTACCTCAAGTGCCACATGACAGCCCTTACTCTAGTTCCAGGCACACACTCCCAGCACACTACAACAGAAAGAAGCAGGACTTAGAACTGGTCATCAGTTTGAAGCCAATTTACATGGCCACTGGGGACATTTCATCCTCTGTATGGCAGGGAAAATAATTCACATTATTAAAGCTTTCTTTGAAAGATTAAATGAAACTGACTGGAAACTGCTAAGCACAGTACCAGCATATAAGAGGATTTAATATGCATTAATACCTTTTTCTTCATAAAGGCTTGACCATGTAAGTTTAGTAATTATTCTGTCCTAAGCACAAATACAGAATCACATGCACCCTGGAGCCAAAAGTAAATGACTAACTCTCAGACTTCTTAGGCAATTTACATTATCCAATGTGACTACCAAAGAGGTGCAATTTCATTGTATGTTACTTCACATTATTTCAAAAACGGAAATTGCTCCAAACAGAACTTCTATTCATGCTTTTCCAAGGCCAGAATCCCTACCTATGAAGATCCTATAATGAGCAAGCCCCAAGAAAGGCTCCTCTCTTACCTTGTGGGTTATCCATTCTCGTCCATACTGATACACATTGTTAGCTGCAGAATTTAGGGCTCTTTGGACTACCTGCGCCTCAGGAAGCCAACTAATTTAAGCAGGAAAAAAAAGTAAAAAAAAAAAAAAAGGTGTATTTTTAATGTGTTGTTCCAATAACGCCATGAACTCCATACATGTACACAACTTAAACAAACTGTTGACCAGTCATTAATGTAGACACAAATGCAAAACTCCATACATGTACACAACTTAAACAAACTGTTGACCAGTCATTAATGTAGACACAAATGCATCACACGTAGGAATGTCTGGGGCTAACTAGCCAATCTACCCTAAGCACTTAAACCCACTGTCCCCACAGCCTCCCTTTCATTCTACTCTGCCTGGTTTCTCTGTCCATCTATGTCCTGGGTCACCATTCCACTCAGCACCAGGGGCAGTGGTTCTGGGATAATCAAGTATTTGACATCCAGGACAAAGTTCTCAAATGTGGTCCATGGCCTCTAATGATTTTATAGTATAAAGGTACAAAGAAGAAAGTTGGATCTCTAAACAGAAAACATGACTTGGGAGACAGTAGAAGAAGCTTTTAAATTATTCTAGTATTTATATTCATCTGTAGCTTGAGGTATCAATGAATATTTTCAATTATATGATACTATATTTTTATTGGAAATTATATACTCTATTGTGTTACTCAAAAATGTGGGGATTTGCAAAGGCACCTGGATAGATCTTTAATGACTGATAAACATCTAATAGTCTGGAAAAAAATGTGAAAAGATGTTGTATTGAACTCAGGACCTTGCGCTCGCCAGGTAAGTACTTATTCTACTAAGCTATCTCCCTGGCCCCATTCACCTTAAAGTGCTTATCTGTAAACTTCTGTGGGATGCCCCAGCTCCCCTTCTCATCTACCAAACTATTTGTCAACATACTTATGCAGGTGTCCTAAGAGCATTACATGAAACACTTGCCATAAGATATCTACTTAAGCCTAACCTCCTTGCAATGAGGCACAGGGCCAGGAACACCTGAGCAACCCAGGCTGGGATAAATGGGTTTGTGCCACCTCAGTCTGACACCATCACAGCCACACAAGTGTTCAGCCTGTTACTAGCACTCAGCCAAAGGATATCTCAGCAGAAAGCAAGTCCCTGCGTGATTCGGACTGGCCTACTCTCTCTTTCCTGAGTAAAAGTTAACGTCTATCATAAAAGGACTGCCAAGAAAGCAGCCCTGATTAAAAATAACTTGGTTTGGTCCACTGGGTTTCATCCAAGTAAGGGCAGGACTGGGCGATCCTCAGCACCATTTTAGTCCCATCTCCAAATGAGTCCTGAGGTGGATCACGAGGCTTGACACTACTGAGCCTGAACTAGCAAAAGAGCTCTAGACAATCAGCACTGTCCTAGATAAGAATAAGACCGGCTGCCACAGAGGAAAGTTCGCTCTGTCTAAGGAGAAGACCAGGCTGTTGTCAAATTGATGATCAGCAACTGACAGGTTTTTTTCTATAGCATGGAAGCAAGGTAACATCAGGAGAGGAGCCAAGTGCTGGCAGTAACCCATGCAGGCAGGCAAGGCCCACAGGAAGAGCACATCTAGTCCATGGCCCAGAAGTTTTCGTGGTCTCACAGCACTCACTTTTTTTTTTGGTGGTACCAGGTATTGAACTCAGGACCTTGCGCTTGCCAGGTAAGCACTTATTCTACTAAGCTATCTCCCTGGCCCCATTCACCTTAAAGTGCTTATCTGTAAACATCTGTGGGATGCCCCAGCTCCCCTTCTCATCTACCAAACTGAATCTCTCTGGTTAGTCCCACAATCCATGTGTATAACAGTCACCCATGTTGCTGCTTCTTAAAGCTGCAGTTTGAAAACTCAGCAAAGCATGGATCAGCAAAGGACATGGATTATGCCCCACAATGACACCCAGAGCAAACACAGTCACAAACGGTGAAGAAATGCTCCAGTCAGCACCCTCTGTCACAAGACTACTGGCAGAGAGTGAGGAATGTGCTCCCCCTGCATGGGCTTCCCAAACCCACCGCAGGGAGTCTAGACCCCACAAGGGCCTTGTAGAATGTGCACCCAGTTGGAAGCAAGTACACTGACTTATTTGCAACTATCTCCTCCACTAGGATTGGACGTAGGAATTCCCCAAGATCACTGCCTTCCTCACGACAGAAATCCACTGCAAATGCAGGAATCACTCCCCTTGCTCCATGCCTGCCCCCACTGTTCCGAATCCCATCCCCACCAATCTGCTGAAGGATCAGACCTTCTTCCCATCACCAAAGTCTAACTTGTAATCTCCCTGCACACATTACTCGGAATATAAAGGAACAAAGTATTGGACAGATTTTAAGGGAATTATGCTAAATGACCAAAAACCAATCTCAAAAAGCTGCATACCTCATAATTAGATTTCTATCATTCTTAAAACAGTATTACAGATATGAGCAGATTAGTGGTTGCTTAGGACTAAAGATAACACAGGAGAACGAACAGAGGGTAATAAAAGATGGCATGAGCTCTGTGATGGAGTTCTGTAACTTGTGTATACTGACAGCTTACACAGAACTACACATGATAACATTATAGGGAACACAGTGCATGCAAAATTGGTGAGAAATCCAAAAATGGCCTATTACACCAGTATAAATTTCCTAGTTACTGAATTAGTTACACAAGATGACAACATTGGAGGTTAGATGAAGAGCACATGGAGCCTTCCTATGCATGTCTTACAAGCACATGTGAATCCATAATTATTTCAAAGTTTAAACCAAGTGAACAAAACACCACTCACAGCTATTTGGTCTCAAGCAGCTCAAATTCTGTATGCCTTCAAAACAGTAGAAATGGCGCTTTATAATTCAAAGCCAGCATGGAAGAGTTCACATTTATTTCTACTAAACAAGAACAACCAGCAAAGACAAAGAATCCTGTGCATATGAGGCCAAGACTGAGTTCTAGAGGACAATGCCTGAAGGCGGTCTGCCGTACCGTGGAAGGCTCCAGCCACTGCCTGGACTCCATGTGGTTTCCTCCCAAAATATAACTGCTGGCAGACACTGCCTCCTCCTTTTCATCATTCTCATTTCAAAACATATTATATTGAAAAGAGGCAGGCGGCAGAAGGTCTCACTTTCTACTCCAAGGCACACTGACCCCTAACTTCCCAATCCCAGTCCACTACACTCACAATATTTACATTCATGCTGGCTTGTTTTTCTCAGTTTGTACCATGACTCTATCTCCTGCTCCATCCTCAAATAAATGCACTAGTTATCCCTTGGTTTTAATATTTTTCAATTCTTTCTAGTTTCCCAATTCTTTCCCATCAATGTATACATAAGCTTCCTCTAAAATCTTAAAAATCTGCTGCACATGTCCCTCCACCCCCTCCCCGCCACTTTTTCACAGACAAATCTGAGAAAGAACAGGCCACACTTCACTCTTTCCCCATTTCCTCACTTCTCAACAACTTCTCAATACAATGCAGTTTAATTGGGTTCTGCCCCACCAATTGAATGGACTGCTCTTGCAGTCACTAAATCCAGCTCACTCTTGTGAAGTACACACCCATGGTGCTAGGAATTGAACCCAGGGCTTTAGGCTGTTCGCTTCAGTGAGCTACACTCCTAGCCTCTCTGCAGCAATTACAATGTGCTTGTCTTCTCCCCTTAGTTTTCCTCTTGCTTTTCTTATAGCCCATTCTCATTCTACTTTGTCAACTTACTGTTTTTTTTCTCAGCCTTAAAGACGGGGATGATCCAGAGGGCACACACCCAGGCATCTCTCTATGCATTATAAACACTTTCTTTCTGCTACCAAAGCTCCAACAGGTCTCTTGGGATTACTCAACCCCCCACCCCAATCAATATCAATTTACCCCGGATTTTGCTCTGACACTGTACAGCTGGTTACCACAGTCACTTACACTTATTACAACTACTTGTATCTGATCACAGCTACCTAAAATTCAGCAGACAAAAAACTAAGTTATTTTCTCCACTAAATCTGCTCTTCTATTTTCTGACTTTATGAATCCACCACCATCCATTAATTCCCAAAGTTAAAAACAGATCATACTAGATTTCTTCTTCCTATATCCAATTGAGCACCAAATAACATGCTTAAGACCAAATTTATCCTCTCTGTTCGCTCCTACTGTAACTGTCCACAAATCAGGACTTCAACACCTCTTATCAGGTCTCCAGTGCTCTCTCCTTTCTCCACAATGCAAATGAAGACTGTTACAGAAGGAAACCTGATGCCACCTCTCTTATCTTCTCAGTCAAGAGGATTAACAGGACTGCCACTTCTCCGCATCCCTTTGTGTCCCCTTCCTGCAGTCCCACCCACTCTGATCTGCAGGTAATCATTCAGCCTTCTGTTACTGAAGATTATATGCAGCTTCTACCCTCTAGAACTCAACATAAATGGAATCATACTCTATGACACTTTTTTTTGGCTGGATTTCTCTCAATTCACTCATTTTGAAATTAACTCATGTTGGTACATGGACTTTTAGTTCATTTGTATTGATGCTGGGTAATATTCCACTGGAGATATTCCATAATTTGCAACTAACAAGAAATACCGGGACAAGCACTCTGTGTATGCTCTAAGTTATACGGGAAATGAGTACATTTTGAAAATATTATTGTAAGATTAAGCCAGGTATGGTGGCACATGCCTGTAATCTCAGCACTTGGGAGGCTGAGGCAGGAGGGGGATTGTTGAAAATTCAAGACAAACCTGGGCTACAAAGTGAGTTCAAGGCCAGCCTAAGCTGCACAGTGAGACCCTGTCTCAAAAAAAAAAAAAAAAAGACAAACAAAAACCAGAATATTCAAACATGATTCTAAACCAAATTTGAGGACAGCTCAGTGGCATGGTGGCTGCCTGGCAAGTGTAAAGTCATGAGATCAATTCCCAGTATACCCCCCCCCAAAAAAAAATTACAAATCAAATTTGAGTAATATCCCAAACAGAATTTATTAATAGAAATAGAGTCAATGGAAAAAAATCAAAGCTGAGAATGTGGCGCAGTGGCCGAATGTCTGGGTAGCATGTACAAGGCTGTGGGATTATGCCCAGCACTACAAAATACAAAGGAGAAAAATCAACTTCAACCTCAAATGATAATCCTAAAATCAGCTAGTATTACCTAGGGGTTAATTAAAAAAGGGAAAAAAAAGTAGGTCATATCGTTTGTCATCAAATAACAATAAGATAAACAGCACAGCTCTGCTGAACACTGCTCACAAAGACCTAAAACCCTTCTTACAAAAGGCAAATTAAGGGCTAGCCAGATAGCTCAGTGGCCTAACATGCCTGCTTAGGCACAGCAAAGTGGCCAGGGCAGAACATGTAATCTGTGCCACAACTACCCAATTCTACCTGCCTTTGCAGTCCAGGATCAGCTACAGATAATAAGTAAATGAATAAATACAGTTATGCTCCAATAAAACTTTACTTCCAAAATCAGGTGGCTGGATTTGGTCCTGAGCCAGTTTGCCTGCCCTCTCCCCAAAAATAACACAAATGGAAACATGTCCAGCACTATACAGAAAGTTGAAGAGTCACAAGTTACAGCGCAATGTTCCTGGCAGCTGGCTAGAAGCCCTGGCTCTGAAGTCTGGCCCTGCCTCTGAGGAATTACCTCATGTCCCTTAACCTACGATCCAATCCTGCTTCCTCACTTGTGAATGGGGTAATGTCTTCAAGCTACCTCAGTCGCCGAGAGACAAGTGACAGGAGGTACCTGAGTATCACTTGCCATACATTGTTCCTAACATCTTAAGTACTCCCCTCTCTCTTTCCCCAGCATTTTATGCCATTCTCTGGCAAAAATCACAGTATTTATCAAAGCTTTAACAAAAAGCCTATCTTTTATTTTCCAATACAATTGTATTAGTGCAGAACATTTAATGCAAGCAGACAATAAAACTAGGCCATCGATCTCTACTCTTTTTCAACACAATATTCTTACTTTGCCCACTCCGGATGATTTGCCAGAGTCTCGTTAATCAGATTACTTGTGACTTCGATCATATGCACACTTTCTTGATGTACCTGTATTAGGGACAAAGAGAGAAAAGGATGTCAGTAACAAACCTAATTTTAATTTTATTTTTTACTGTATTACTGGAAAAATGCTTTTAGAATTAAATAATTACACATGTTGGTTGTAATTAACTCAGAAATGAGCACCAAAAATGAGAAACAGCAAGCATATTATAATTTCCTGCCTTTAGGAAACTAAACAATTTGGTTAAGAAATAAACACATACATATGTATAAACACTTAACACATATATGTATGAACACTTAACTATACATAAGCACATAGATCTTATATATACATATTGTATACGTTTATATATGCATGCATTACAAACATCAGAATTCATACACTCTAGGGTAAGATATACAAGCAAAAAAATAGCTAAAAGATTGAGTACAAAAAAAAACAAAAAACCTCAAACTGTACCTCTGATTTTGCCTTCCACAATAACCAACAAAATGAAAGGGGTGAAAAAGGAAGAAACTAATTGGGGGAAAAAATGTTTACCTACATCTTAATAAGAAAAGCGTAATTTGATGCTATTTGGAGCAGAGCATCACGTAAAGAAATATGACATTCTGTAGCACAATAAAGAGCCCCAAGCGTTCACCCCTAAACTGACTGACACACCCAGAAGCTTACAGATAGGCTGACAAATTCCTGTAGTAAACATGTAACATGCAAATCTATAGGGAAAAAAATATATCCTCCTCTTTTTCTGACTGAAGAAAAACAGAAACCACAGCAAGGGAGAAATCAGAGGAAAGAGACCAACAGTGATAGACTGATCCCACCCCATCTCTCACTGACACTAGCCCTCTGTGCAGGGAAAGCTCTAGAATATGGAAGGAATTGGGAGAAACACTATAAATCTTTTCCCACAGGAATGGATGTGACCTTATCCAAGTAACAAAAAACAAACAAACAAACCAAAAAAAAAAGAAAGAAAGAAACCCACTAGCATGAATCACATACAAATGACAAAACAGAATGGAGTCTAGGATATCCTAACAAGGTACACCAAGATACCCACACTGTCGCTCCAACCCAGTTTCAATTTTGTAGGACCCAGAGAAAGAAACACACACACACACACACACACACACACACACCCAGCTGCAATTTCAAGAGAAAAACAAACAGATTTCAGACAATGGGGAAACAATAACTCAAATAGAATGCCTTAAAAAAAGCCAGACCAAACAAGGCCTTACAGGTTCTTGTGAAAAACCTGGCTTTCACTTTGTGGGATCTGGGAAACTGCAGAGGGCTTTAAGCTTAGAAGTGATATAATGTTTCCTAAGTTTAGAAAGTAAATTTGGATGATGTGTTGAGCACAGTGAAGCAGGGAAATCAGCTAGGAGCGGACTTGCAATAGCTCATCCAAGGGACAGGGATAGACAAGAGCAGGCCACTGGTAGTAGCGATGCGGAGTAATTGGATTTGGGAGAGCTAACATCAATTGTCTCTCGCAAGTTAATCCAGCCTTGCATCCCTGAAATCAACCTCACGTGGTTATGGTTTATCATCCTTTATATGTATCGCTGGATTCCATCTGTTAACATTTGTTAAGGGTTTTGTGTCGGTCTATACAAGATACTGATCTATAGCTTTCCACTAATGTTGGACATTGGGCAGTAGCAAACTCAAGGTGAGCTAGGAAATGCTTCTTCTTCCACTGCTCTGTGAAAAAGGTTGTATAGGACAGGTAACATTTCTTTATTGCATGCTTGACAAAATGCATCAGTGAAATCACTTGGGTCTCAACTCTTCTCTGCAGGAAAATTTTCACACTGATTCCACTTCTTTTCCTGATATAGAACCACCCAACTGTTCTATTTCTTTAACTAGACACAGAAAGCTAATTATCGCAAGGTTTCTCCATATGAGAAACGCAAAAATAAATAATTTAAAGAGCACAATAAGGGACAGATGGCAGGAAATGTGAATCTGTAGGATCTTTGGAGGTGGGGGGAGGTTCAGGGGAAGGGGGAGGGGGCTACGTACCACCTCCCCAAACAAATGCAATTATTATGTTGTACAACATGTCTGAATAAAGAACTTCTTAAAAAGTTTTTTACATTTCTTCTCATATTTGTACTCTTTCTTCTTTATAAGAAACCTCTCCATTTAATCTAAATTATCAAATTTAATGGACATAATTTGTTTAAAATACTAAATTCCCTTTCTATTTTTTTAAAGACAATCTCACAGGCTGGGGATAGAGCTCAGTGTCATAAACACCTTCCTTGTAAGAGCAAGGCCCAAGTTCAATCCCCAGTACCACAAAAATAATACTAATAACAATCTGTGTAATCCAGGCTTGCTTCAAACTCATTCCTCCTACCTCAGCCTCCAGAATGTTGTCATTTCAGGCATGTCCCACTATACCCATCTTCCTCTGTTACCCTTTTAAGACCTATGAGGCCTGTACTACCCTTTAAGAGCTAGATCTATGAGCTCTCTTTCATCCTTTACACTATCTTTTCATCAGCCTGGTTAAACATTCGTACTTTATTAATATTTTTTCAAGAAAATATTTTTATGTTATTTTTTTTTTCTTTTTCCACTCCCAATTTCACTGACTTGAACTTGATTTTTCTTTCCATTTACTTTTTCTTTTGTATTTTAGGGAAGGGTCTATAGGGTGTTCTGGTCTCACTACTAGATCTGACTTGCAGTGATCTGCCTGTTTACAGCCTCCCAAGAGCTGGGATTACAGGTGTGCACCACCACGCCCAGTCTCAACTGCCAGCTCAGCGCACCCTGGGGGTGGGGTTGGCACTGCGCCCAGGTATCGAACCCCTGGCCCCTTCACCTACTTGCAGGTGCTTTAATCCACTGAGCTATTTGGCTGGCTCTTCCATTTACTTTAGATTTTTTTTTTTTTTTTTTGCTAGCTTCTTCAGACCTTGTGTAATGCCATAAATCCTCTTCCAAGCACTGCTCTACAAGAACCTTTTAAATTTTGATATGCAGTGGTTCACTTGTATCCACTTCAAAGTATTCTCTTATTTCCCCTGAAACTCATTTTTGACAGAAAATTATCTACATGTTGTTTAATTTCTGAGTATCTAGGAATTTCTCTTACTTCTGTTAGAGTCGATCTCTAATTCTATTGCATCAAACAACATGCTATATAATTTCACTACTTCCAAAGTTATTGAGCATATTGTTTATCCTGGCAAGTCTTCTATGTTTGTTTGAACGTAATTGTAATTGACAATTAGATGAGGATGATGACAGTATTTTAAAAGGTTTCTAGGGCTGGAGAGATGGCTCAGTGGTCTAGGGCACCTACTTAGAACAAGCTTGGCAAAGCATCAGGGACCGCGGTTCAATCCCCCAGCACCACATGCCAGCCAGCCCCGCCCCCTGGTGGGCTGA